ACATATGGAGATGGAATGTTCTTTATTACTTCACCCCCACCTCTGTCTCACTGAAGGGAAGGTATTATTCCTGTTTGAGCAACTCTTTGTTGCTCTGGGGACTAAAAGCATTGCAATCGATGCAGGGAAACAGCTATACAGTACATCCCGCCTGCAAAGTCCCTCAGCTGTGAAAAAAAAAAAAGTCCTGGCGCTTGGTGTGAGGCAGAGTTGAAGTAGTCACAGAGGAATGGTTAACATACTTGTGGTGAAAAGGATTTAGGTGTCAAGTCAGAAAAGGTTCAGACAAGAAACATGTAAATATTCTGAATTATAATAATTGTTATCAATATCAATGTCAAGCCTAAGTGGTATTATTAATGCTTCAGACTCATTGTTATTATTATTATTATTATTATTTTACAGATTTTAGAGAAAAGCAGTCACATATTTATATTAAATGTAGCTGCATCTTCTATTATAAACCACTGTATTTCTACAGTGAATTAAATCTTTTGGTTACATTTAAGGAAGAACTGCAGACATGAACATATACAAGGTTAAGTCTAGAAGTTCTGAGACAACTTTTATTTCCGGACTTATTGGTATAGTATTTTACTGTCATCAAAGGTTGGCGTACCACAGTCTGGCTGGCCTACGTTCCCATCACACACACACACACACAGGAAATCCCTAGAGTAAGCCAAATGCCTATTCTTATTCAAGTGCACCACAGGAACTCCACTGAACAAAGATTATTGATATCCTTCCCATAGCTTCACATGTGTCATGGCAGAGAAACACTCATTATATGACAGTACACAGGGCTGACTCACAGCACACGCAGCAGGTGCTCATCATGTGAAAACAAAGGTTCATTAGTGGAAGGTCACATTAAGACCTACAGCCGACCTCCTCCTCCTCCTCCTCCTTCTTATCCAACTCCTCAACCTGTCATTATTCCTCTTTAAGCACAAGCCTGTGTCAGCAGTGAGACCAGAGCTGCACCTCTGCCTTGAAAGACTTGTTGCTATTTTCTCCTCAGGGGCAGGACAGGAGTGATTTCAGAGATGATTTTATTGTACCGCTGCCACAGACACACATCTGCACTGCACATTCACACAGCACAGTAGGGACGTATCATATGCTTGGTTGTCAAACACTTGATGTTGAAAGGCTGATTATTACATTTGCCAAAATAATATATAGCGTTAGAGGCGACAGCGTGTTACATTTAGGTTATTTTCATAGAACTCTGCTCCTGTTGACAACAATAATCTGGTGGAAAAAATACAGATAAGACTGAGAATATATTGGAGGAATAGTTTGGGTCGACGGGCTGGTGAATTAAAGCAGCCTGAGTTTGAGAAATGCCAAAAATGTCTGTCAGTCTTATCATCTCATCTCACATGGTTTTCCCTTCTTGCTCTCGAGGAGTGGAGCGTTGCAATGCGGGGGAAAATCACAGAGTCAGTCGTCATGGAAATACTGACACTTCACGGACAGGTGTGAAGGAGACTCACTTAGATTTTCTAATGAGCTTCCGGAGCTTTTTCCTCTATGTCGTCGGTTTAATTATGAATTTCTTTAGAATTTTCCTCCGTGTTTTTTTCATTCTGTGAATCTTAGAAGAGTCCATACTGGGGTGCTGGAGAATTCTCCCCCTCAGAGTGAAAAGTGTTGCTCAGTTTTTGACCATGAAAGCAGAGCTCTCAT